GTTTATTCAAACCCTGCAAGTGACATTAACCTTGACATGGACCTTGACATTGACATTGACCAATCATTCTGACCAATCAGAATGTCTGGGTCGTTTCTTTATTTGCACTGAATTAACCCTCTTCTGCACTGAAGAGTCAAAATGAAGTGAATGATGTTGTTAAACAATTGAACTTGTTAAGAAGTATCATGAAAAATGGACATGAAAAACCTTATAATTAATGCAATTTTTAGATGTTAAAAAAGACTGTGCTGGTGTCTATCAAAGTAACACTGCTGACGGGTATATCTCCATGAACGCTTTTGAATTACTGAACTTTGCAGTTCGTAGAGCTTGATGGCTGTTCGTTGTCCACTGAAACTCTCGTTGCGCTGGGAGAAGGCAAGTTCAAAATAAAGGTATGTTTAAACTGCATTCACTGATGTTTTATTGAAAGGCTATTACTAACCTACTTCCGCCGTCAATAAGATTTCTGCCATCTTCGACAGGCTCTAGTGTTTTGGTTCGGCCTCACGACCCATTTTCCGGCCACAGTCGCCTCTTGCTCCTTTGGCAGCTGCTTATGAAAAAAGTTTTTGAAACTCCTTCAATGTGGAAAATGATCAGTTGGTAGATAACTGCTTAACTTTACTAAGTAAATGAACTTTTGCACCATTTTGAGATTCTTTTGGACGGATGTCGGCTCATGGCCTTGCATACTTAATTATTCACAAAAAGAAAATCAAAACAAAACGACAGACTTTGTTGATTGTCAGCAGTCACATGTACAGTTACTATGATAATCTATATTGGCCGCTTGAGGACTGCTCCTTGCTATTTCATCATAAGAAAGTTTTTTATCATTTAGATTAGCAGACCTTTTATAGAAATGAACTTGTAAATTGCTCATCTTTTGCTGATCGTACTGTTTCAATGCTGACCAAAATAATGTTTTGTGTTGTCTCCTTGTTCTCTTTTGCGTTTTCTTGTTTTACCTGCTTTTGCCCTTGATGGTGTTTCCTTGATTGTTTGTTTGATCTCCTTTTCAGCTTTCGGAAGAAGCTGAAAACGTGGTGAACAAATCAAGGGAATTACTGGATGGCATTGTGCGAGAAAATAAAGGTAATCAGCTAGTTGTTTTAGATAAATAGTTTAGGTAAATTGATATTCGTTGTAGTTCTAACCGCTAGTTAGAGCGAGTTTTCATTGGTTTTGGTCTGTTCTGCCTTGTGATTGGTCCAGAAAACTCACCTCACCTTCTCCACCAATCAGATGCTGATGTAAAACAAATCACAGCCTGGTCGCTGGCGTTTCCGGCGCTTTAGGCAGTCTAGTCAGTTATACTTTGATTTCTCATTGGCTCCGAAAGGTATTTTATTTTCTCCTGATTGGCTTTTGCTATTTATTACTTTGGTTTGGTTTCGCGACATTTAATCGAAAAGCACTCTAAATAATTATGTGCAGAAATACTGAGTTGCTATACAGAATAAATGCACTATTGACAAGCATTCCGTTCTTCCAATTTTTCCTTCGTTTGTGCGGCATTCGCAGTTCGTAACCACTGTATTTAGAGAGGTTGGTTTGCTCCTTTGAAAGATGAATCATTTACAGATTTTTTGGACCTTCAAATTCAAATATGTTGAGTTTGATGTCTGGCGCCCTATGAGACGGTAAACACAAACAGCCATTTTCGAAGTTCTTACTAAAAGAAGAAAATCATTTTTTAAGCGACGTCTTCCGTGGCGTTGCCACCCTGACTGCTTAAAGTCCCTATTGAGTAACTTACAGAGAATTTAGCCGGAAGGGAAAACCGGAATGTCAACTATTTTTTTTTTTACATAAATCACGTAAAGCGCGCGCTCTGATAGGTCAAATCAGTGTCTACTATTTGCCCATGGATGTACGCTGCTGACGTGAGTAGATGTTTCAAAGTAAGCAAATATCTCGCAAATAACTGTTGTTGTTGTTTTTTTTTTATGGGAGTGTTATAAAACAAATCAATCAATCAATCGATCAACTTTATTTAACGAGGGTAACCCGGGACAGTACTTCAACTGAGTAACTGGTGGCCCTCAAGGTAAACACCGCAGTGTACACTATTGAGTTATGGATGCACATGGAAGGTTTACTAAGCACTCAAGAAGTTCGACTCTCCCTCGGCTATCGCCTCGAGCGACTCTTACGCTTCTTCAGTGCTTAGCAACCTCCCTCGCGCATCCATAACTCAATAGTGTGCGCTGTGATGTTAACTATTTGTTAATTAAACTCGTCTGACAGACCGTATAGTCAGTTTTGATTCCTTAATTCTCATTTAGTGATGTATGGCGTGACAACCGGCTTCGGAATGTTTTCAAAGGTAGCGATACCCAAAGACAAACTTGAGTAAGTGTCATTTGCCATAAATTCCTTCTTTTGATTGAACAAGATTATATAGCAAGGCATTAGTAAATAGCTATCATAGCTCGGCATATAAATTTCTTCCAAGCCGTATGATTTAGCCGCGTTATTTTCTTCCCACCTGTTTTTAAATCATATATTTTTCACTTTAATTATTTATCAATTACTTCTCTAATACTATTTTTTAAGGGAACTCCAAGAGAATGTCGTAAGATCGCACGCTGCAGGTACGAAAAGCCAATCTACTTTTGTAAAAATAGGCATTGTTAAGTGATTAAAAATGACTATATATGACAAATGTAGAAGAATGGCGGCAACAGCTTTAAAGTACTCGAAAGGTTTTTCAAAATTTCTGGGCAATAAGTTAGACGTTTCATGATCAATTCTTCTTTACGAGTTATCTTTACTTCGATCCGAGGTGTGGGCAGACCTCTGTCAACGAAACGCACACGGATGCTCTTTGCACTGAGGATCAATGGTTTAGCGAAAGGCCACAGGTTGGTTAAACATTTCATACACATGTTGTACATACATATCTTTTTATACGCGTTTTAAACCAAAATAGCGCCCCCTCGATTGTCCTCCAGTTGTAGTCGAGAAGGTGACAGTGGAAAAAGCTGTCCAACTCCTACGAGGCAAAATACTAGGGATCTGTACGATCTAATACTCTGAGAAATCGTTCTCTCCACATCTTTCAGCTGTTTGCGATTATATGGGAAAATTGGTACTTAGTAATTCCTGAATTACAAGAAAACATTGACTTAAAATGCACTACGCAAAGGCCCAACCCACAACCTTTATTTTCCACCCCTGAAAACGCTCACCGCCTTTTGCACCTCCTTTGCGCTATCACTTGACTTTTGTCCTTCTGTAATGTTTCAGTGGAATTTCACTCAAGACGTTAAAACAGCTTGTGGCAGCCTTTAATGGTATGAGTGGAAATATTTTCACAAACAGCGACATGTTTCCTTTAAATGTTTAATTGGTTCTCAGTAATTTAAAGTAGTTTCCCCACAACGTTTTTATAGTCCCAAGCTTGCTTACGATAGACAAGTTATGCTTAACTATTTAGCCCCCAGAAGTGATTAACATCCACACAACATTCAGCAGACAGGTCTCGAGAATACTCAAACTTACCGGGTAGAAGTTACTGTCTTGATCTAACATCATATTCTTGTAACTAATTTACAAGATAATGCATAGAGGCTAGAGGAGAGAATTACTGATTAGAGTAAGTGAGAGTTAGAGGATTAAAGACCAGCATAAGCTTCGAATCGATGGTCCACATAGCTTTAGTGCACGCCTAACCTCTTACCTTCAGTAACAGCTCCCAGTCTTGCACGTGTGCGCTCTCACTCTCTATTTACAGAATCATGTCTCCCATGGATTCCTGAGCAGGGGACAGTGGGGGCAAGCGGCGATTTAGCCCCCTTATCTCATCTGGCGCTTGGATTAATGGGGGAGGGGCAGATGTGGAGTCCTAAAAGTGGCTGGGCGGATGCTGCCTTGGTAACAGATAATGACGCACGAGCGTTTTTGCAAATGTATTTAATTGTAGTAAAAAGTTTAGGTTTTTCCATATGAACACCTGAAAATATAACTACTATGATCATAATATTGATGACAATAATTACAATGGTGTTTTATTCATGATAATAAACCAAGAGTTGGTTATCATCTGAACCCGGGAAAGGAAAGGAATTTCCAAATATAAAAACAGTGCTTTTGGTTCATATCAGGCTTAGATCAACGCGTACCCGTAAGCGTTTCATCACATCTACATTTGCAAACACCCTGAAACTCGTTTACAATACTTTGTAGCGCTTCTCGTTCACTTGTGTTCCTTCTTTCGTGCTCGTGTTTCTTTCCATCAACACTTAAACTCCCATAAATGACCTTACATTGTCAATACAATATCAAGCAGACAGATGACGAGAGTAAAGAAAAACTAAGGGATCATTAGTTGATCAAATACCACATTTTCTTAAGTAACATCATACGATTATATGGCAGGCAGTAGGGAGAGTTACTAATGCGATCTTGGCAGTGAAAAGGTTTAGGTTTAATAACAAGTACTATTAATGACCTTACACTATTCAGTGTCTTACGAAGCGCTTTAGGAGTAATTTTAATAACTGTTACCATGGCAGGTTCTAAAGGCTCATGGGTTGGATCGTTTACAGCTGCAAACGAAAGAGGTAGGTGGTTTACTTACTTTTTTCTTTACTCGTATATCAATTATCATTCACGAAGAGAAGAGATTTGTTAACGTATTTTGTTTCTTTTGTTCTTCAGGGGATTGCTCTGATTAACGGTACTCAGTTTATAACTTCTCTTGGTGCTGAAGGTAAAAATGGAAAGTAACATTTAATTTTGTTATTTCTTTCTTTATGTGTCTTATGCTCTAAGTGCCATTGGCAAGCTGAAAAAGGTTCACGCATGCGTAAGGTGAATTTTAATCGCGTGCCTTAAAACTCAAGCTAAATAATCACAAGGGCCAATCAGAGCAACAGAAAACATAGAGAGCCAATGAGAATTCAAAGAGAAGTCTCCTGAAGTGCGGGAAAACGAGAGGGTGGAAGGTGGTAGCTGCGGTTGTTTTTTCATGTGCATCTGATTGGTCGAGCCAATCATAAAGTGAAGTGACCCAAAACTTACTTAGCTCAGGAGTTATTTCGCTCGCCAGTTGGAAAGGACTTCGGCGGCGAATACATTGGTTAAAGTTAAAGAAACGAATTTGCAGTATTGGACTTATGAACTATTATTAATACAATAAAATCACTCGAAGACCGGATCATATTTTTAACAACATATTCAGCCGTTAGTTATAATTAGATTTTTGCACAGCGACGTGTCAGAACTATGATTTCCAAATTTCTTTTTCTTTTGTTTATTTAGCTGTGGAACGTCCTCGTATGATTGCGAGGCAGGCCGATATAATTGCCGCCATGTCAATTGAAGTATTGAAGGGAACCACACGAGCCTTTGATGTTTGTAAGTATTATTACATAGAGCTTCATTTCCCAGCCACCGACAGATTAACTTGAAAGATTTATCGTTACAATGTCACAAGCGTGTTGTGAGTGTTGCTCATTCGTACTGTTCAGGAGACACTAGTGTGACACTATTTGTGCGACACTATTTGTACTATCTATTGAGTGGAGCAAAACGTTTTTTTAAAATTTGGGTCCTCTTTATAAAGCACAAAGTTCAGTATAATATTTTTAAAGCCAATTCATTTGGAACCTTCAGCAATCCAACGAGCGCGCCCCCACGTTGGCCAGCGTCGTGTCGCTCAGAGACTGCGCTCTCTTCTGCACTCAAGTGTGTATCCGTCAGAAATAGCAGGCAAGTATAGATCTTACGTTTATTCACCAAAGTTATATTTTTGAGCTATAACCCAGGTTCAGTTTCTTAGATTACCACCAGAAAAAAAATTGGTGAGGCTTCTTAGAAACAGCTGTTTAAAAAGACGAGAGTTTCGTTTCACAATGTTTCTCCTTGGAAGTTCTCAAGGAAGCCTCGACTTTATTTTCTCGATCTAGTGTCTTTATCTCACGGCCAAACAGCGAATGGTAAAGACGAGATCAGTTTCGTCAAAATCTAAGAATTGTCAGTGCATTAGTTCCCAGCCCCAGGGTGCCCTGTCTTTCTGATGCCAGCGTAAAGCCTGGAAATGACGATAACGTTCACAATAGTTTTCGTTCTCCTCTCTAAATTAGCATTTGGCTGATGAAATTATTGTAACTAGGTTTTGTTCTTAAGCAAGTACCTCATTCATATTTATTATGTGTTATCAGAGAGTCACAGATTCTGCAACCGCGTCCAAGACGCGTACACTTTACGCTGCTGCCCGCAGGTAAGACGCGTTACAGTTAGCTTCACAGGCCATTTAACTTGGATTTTGGTCTTAAAAAAAAGAAAAAAAAAACCTTGATGAAAGTCCAGGCTTCATCATCGCAATGATACAACAAGATTAATATTAACAGGGAAACGGGGTGAATATGCAAAATAAGAGGAAAATTCTTACTACCGACACGCCTGTGGTTATGTTCTTTATTTATCTTTTTTCTTTCATTCTGTTTTAAGTTTTATTTTTTTCTTATTTTCTGGGGGAATGGGTTTAAACTCGACGTTTTCTGGGTTTTGACGTCTTGAGAAGAGTATGGCAGGCAACGAAAATTGTCAGTGAAAATTTGTCCTGTAATTCTTCCAACGTGTAGTTGCTGTTTATTCTATAGGTCCATGGGGTTGCAAATGATACCATCGATTTCGTACAGGATGTGATCACAACTGAGATGAACAGTGCCACAGACAATCCTGTATCCTTCAGCTTAGTAAACCATCTCTATAGGCACGTAATGAGTGCAGAGGCTTTTGGATGTTTTACATTAAGAATACTGAAATGCGATACATAACAAATACACTTTTCATAATACTAAGCTAAGCCAAGCATGGCTATTTTTGGGAACGAGAGCTCTTTACTCGGTGTGCAACCAACTAGATTCGGCTCACTCTACCACAAAAATGTATGGTTTGCATCGACAGTTACGAGTAACGATCTTCTGCCATCTCCAAAATCAGCAATTGATTTCAAAAATTGTTGTTATTGTTATCGTTTTTGTTGTTGTTATCGTTGTTTTTCTTGTTGTTGATTTTTTTTTTCATAGTAATCATTAGAAATAACTTTGGAATGTGATCCTCTATTTTCAATAGAAAGGGCCAATTACTACTTACTAGGGGCACGATATTCTTTGCAGCGAAGCATAATGGGACGTTCCTTACGATTACCAGACTCTTACTTGAGGGCAGTTATGCAAGTCATGTGATGGTTCCTCAGCCGATGAAAATAAGTAGAACCTACGCATCATATGATGATGGGTATCGGGTGAATGGTATGCTAGACAACTAAAATGTGATGGAAATGTTTGGTTGTTAGTCAATTAATATAAACATTTCCAGATAGTAAACTTAATCCATGTTAATCAGATTGTCTTTGCTGAACGTGGAGAGGTTTTGTCCTGCGGAAACTTTCACGGCGAATATCCTGCCAAGGTATCATCTGAGATGTCATAGACATGTCTTACACATTGTCAAAGTTTAACACTGATTTTAATTGTTCTCTTTCTATAGTATTTTGCTCGGATTTTTTACTTATTTTTGCTTGTTTAGTTACGTTTGTTTTCTTGTTTGTTTTCGATTTTTTCCCGTTTCTTTTGCGTTTTTTTATTTTTTATTTAATTCTTGTCCTCAGTAAGACTTCACTGAAGCCTCGTACCTCGTACCAAACTAACTAACTTACCAACTCACTGGCTAACAAAACTATTTATTTAATCACTTTCACCAGAGTGTGGTGAGGGTTGCACAACAGAGCGAGGCTCCAAATTAAGTGCGCCCTATATATCCCACCCCAGGGGAGGACATCCATCACACAGTAATCTCGTGTGTGGGAAATTAACGTCTCCTACCCTAACCCTGCAGGAGACGGGCCCTTAATTTATTCGTCCCTATCCGAGAAGACTAGAATATCTAACCATTTCTTGATGTTATAGAAAGGTAGCAAATTCTTCTCAATTATCTTAAGACCTTGAGTGTTGGTCCGGCCGGGGCTCGAACCCAGCGCTCTATCCATTGAGCTAACCGGGAGGCGGTTAGCTCAAACTAAACAAAAATGGCGGTTGGCTCAAAGTAAACAAAAAATGGCGGTTAGCTCAAACTAAACAAAAATGCTGAAAGAACTAATAGCTTACGTTTTATTTTCGTTGGTTAGGTGCTTGATTATCTGGCTATTGGTGTCCACGAGTTGGCTAACATGAGCGAAAGAAGAATAGAAAGACTCGTAAATCCAGGTAAGAATCACAGAAAGTTGAAGGACATACAGGGAGTTGATTGCAAACGGTCGTCTCGACTCGAGAGTGTTTAGTTGCTCTTTTTATGGAAGTTCGAGCCGTTGAATTTAAACTTTGGACACCACAAACCTTGTGCTATCATGATCTTGCTTTAGCCATTCAAAATGCGGAAATTGTTTTTATCTCGATTACTTTTCAGTAATCTGTTTAATTTTGAACAAGGACTATTTCAATGTATACTGCATGTTGTGGCTACCTTCTTTGCAACTTCAAAGGCTGAGGAAATTAAGCTACCTACAAGTCAAAATTCTTCAAAACTCTTTCTTTCCTACAACAATGTAAAGTAAAGCGCACTCAATAGATTGAACACGCACCTTGTCCACACATTTGACACATTTACAGGAGCTTACAGGAATATCCGTTTGCACTAAGGCGCACAAATGGCCACCTTACTTTCTGTAATATTCGCGGTGCTCGGAGCGCACGAAGCGTGCGCAGCGTAGTCCCGTAACTATAAAATAGCAGAAACCCGTCAAGCCGAGAAAATGTGGTCGCACGATCGTACCATTTCATCACTTTTGAGCTTTTTCGTACATACTTTTATTTTGTCTTTGCAGCCCTCAGTGAGCTCCCAGCATTTCTTGTAAAGGACGGAGGTTTCAATTCCGGTAATAGTTCCTAACTAGCTGACGATGGGGCAGAAAACTGGAGTGTCTGACTGACCGACTAACCGACTGACCGCCTGACCTACTGACATAATTATCGATGACTCGACTGACTGGTGGACTGAGGGACAGCTCAGAACTATGTAAAAGGGGCGAGCTTAAGCTAAAGTTGAAGACATCATTACCCTTTAGATTTTAAGACCGACCAACGACTGACCGACTGATAAGCCGCCTCACTTATTGACATATATTACAGTTATCAATGTTTTGAGGGACAGCTCAAAACTTTTTAAAGGGGGCGAGCTAAGGCTAAAGGGGAGGACATTGTCACCTCTTAGACGTTTAGATCCCGTTTCCTGCAGGGTTGGGGTAGGAGACGTTAATTTCCCACACACGAGATTGCTGTGTGATGGATGCCCTCCCCTGGGGTGGGATGGTTGGTCTATAGGGCCCACAGTAATTGGCGCAAGCTGTTGCGGTGTCCCTGCCGGTCGGCGAAGCTAATAAATAAAACCTCTCGACCTTTGTCCCCCTTTTTTTCCGCTCGTGCGCCACTAAAGAATATCCCAAAAATTTATTACATCCCTTGTACACAGAGTGTACAATAGTCTGTTAGGTTTCGGACTAAATTTCTCCGGAAGGGAATTTTGTTTGCGCGTACTAGTTAATAATTAGAAGAAACGACTAAGGTCTTTTTTCAAATTGGTATTATGGACAACACAGTTTTCAGTTTATCTACGGAATCAAGAACATGTCCATTGACATAAAACGGATTATATAACATTAAGGTGGTTAATTCTTTGCAAATTAC